TAATAGAAAGTCTTACTATTGAACAAGTTGAGTGGTAAATTTGTTGGGGAAAAAGAAAAAAAAACCTCCTGATAATGCCTTTCTATTGAGTGACTCATCGTTTTAAATTTGGGTCACTACTTTAAGCTATTGATATAGTTGATGGGTGGCTCTTTATTGTGAAGAAAAAAGGGTAGAAAACACATTGTTAGCTCTACCAAAAACACATGGCAAACAAAATGGTATTTCCTGTGATAGAAAAATCACAGGACAAAGAAAAAAAAACCTCCTGATAATGCCTTTCTATTGAGTGACTCATCGTTTTAAATTTGGGTCACTACTTTAAGCTATTGATATAGTTGATGGGTGGCTCTTTATTGTGAAGAAAAAAGGGTAGAAAACACATTGTTAGCTCTACCAAAAACACATGGCAAACAAAATGGTATTTCCTGTGATAGAAAAATCACAGGACCAGAAGGGACCCTGAAACATTCCTTCTTCTTTCTACTCCTTTTTAAAGATCTTCCTACTCGGATCTTAAAGCGTTTTAGTCCTGTTACCTCAGTTCCACCCTGTGGCCTTTTGAGCACAGAGCACCTTTCCCTACCTCTGGCTCCCAGACGGTTTGGAGCTTCACCCAATTTTTTTTCTCTATACTATAGTACCATTCTATAAGCTTTTTCTTTTTCTTCTTGGTTACTGCTCAGTCACACATTGTTTGAGCCATGCTTTCTCAGGGTTCTTCTACCTTTGTTGTGCTTTGAGACCAGGCTCTGTTAGGTAGCCCAGGTTGGCCTTGAACTCATAATTCTCCTGTGTCAGGTGCTGGGATTGAAGAAGTGTGCCACCACAGCTGGCCTGCCTTTGGACTTGAGAGAGCCTTTCCTCTATACGTGGTAGATTCTCACTGGGCTTCAAGGCTGACCTATCTCTTTCTCCTGAGATTCTCCCTGCTTTGTGCCCATCCTACCCCATATGTACTTCTTCCTCCGATAGCTAAAGTAGTTGATGAGTCACTTGTTTTCTTCTATTTCGCTCTACTAGACTGACCATAAGCTCCTAGCAGACTGGACCATATCTTCTTTGCCTGTTTGTTTTCCCCCTTAGAACTGTGTGCAGTGCTTGTAATGTTGTAGGTGATCAGTCAATAGCTATTGAGTGAATGAATGAATCAATTCTCTAACTTGTCCCCTGTCTACTCACCAAGTTTTTAATGACAAATTCTGAAACTTTGAATTTCCTTTGTACTGCAGTATCACTTCATCTCACGTGTTCTGAATTTTCATTTGCAGTGATGAGCAGGTTACATTATTTAGATGAATTCTTCATAGAGCACAGATAAAATGGGAGAGAATGACCTAATTTGCTTGTTTTTGCTTGGGAAATGAAATTTTGTGCTCCATTAGAAGTGCTGTAAACCATTTCTCCTAAGGAAATGATTTTATAGAACTAATATCTGATATTTAATGTTCATGTTTGGACTGTCTCTTGTTTGCAGTATGTGACAGAGTGTGCCAAGATCATAGACCCTTTGAATGGTCTCAGAAGGGAGACACAGGGCCACTGGAGGTGTATGTGCTACACAGTCAGTGGCTCAGAACTTGGTGCTCAGAAGGGCCATCTCTTTGGTTTAATGCTCTGCTTCCGTATTGAGATTCCTACTAACTTTTCTTACAAGTTGGGTTTTGCAGATGAAGTCAGATGGGACAACAGCAGGGACAGAGCAGGGCCATGGAAGACAGTTTCTCATTTCTGCATCTCACTGGACCTTTTCTCTCTCTACCTTTTGAACAAGGGGTCTCATGTTTTGGTTTTTCAGGGGTCCTGGAATAGTGTGTAGATGTTTTGCTGTGAGCTGGCGGCATTGTGGCAGGGTGACCATATAATTTATTGTCTAAACTCAGATACTTGTAAGGGCAAAAAAGGAGTGTCATTCTAATTATACTGGGAAGCAGATGTAAACAACGGTTGTTCCTAGAGTACTGTAAAGCACAGCTATGCTACCTTTTAGGCCTACATCAGGCAAAGACTTTGAATTTTGTGCCTTATGGAAATAAATGATTCTGAAATTAGTTGCCTGTTCAGGTTTTGATCTCAGGTAGCCCATGATGTGAGTCCTGTCTTTGTAAATTTAGGCATTCCTAAACTACTCAAGCTTCTTTTTTCCCTTACCAGTTAAATAAAAAGCCAAATAATCACATTTCTCAAGGTTGCTGTGCAGAGAAGATGAGATGAGAGGTGGTCTGGGCCACAGTCTGGCTCCTGTAAGAGCCCTGCAAGTAGTTACTGTTATTTCCTCCAGTATTATGATGAGTCAGGCAGACAGGTCATCATTAGATAAAAATTTCATTGGGGCTGGAGAGACGGCTCAGTGGTTCAGAGTACCTGCTGCTCTTGCGGAGGACTCGGGTTACAATCCCAGCACCCACAGGGGGCTAACAGCCATCCTTAACTCCAGTTCCAGGGGATCCAACACCCTCTTCTGACCTCCTTGGGCACTGTGCAACATGGGTGCACTTATACACATGTAGGCAATCCATTCATACACATAAAACAAAAATAATAAATAAAATATTAATTTTTTTCCATTTCTGTTTAATTCTCATCTACACTTTTGCTATGGTTCTAGCAAAATCAGTGTTAGTGTCAGTCCTATAT